AAGGTCACAGCATTAACAGAAGCCCCAATGTCCACTAATTTGAACGTTTACATTATTAAAATAGCCGCGAATGGCCACTTAGAAGATTCAGTAAATAACTGTTATCCTGCTTTAAATGCTATCGAAAACTAACACGATCTGATATTAAGCTGTGGAAAGATGGTGACTGGTATGATTAGAAAAGCTACGAAATTTGGACCGGTAACAGCAGCATTCCATTCCAAGTTAGAGTTCTTTTCTAATTGTAAACCAAAACCAGAATAATCTAAACAAATCAGGATAAGTGTAAAGGCGTCATGGAGCGAACGCGAAATGATAATAAAAACAAGAAAACTGTCTGAAGATCGGAAAAACAGGAGGGCAGAGTCACGATTGGATTTAGTTTTGCATCTGATTTGAGCAAATTGTCTCGACCAATCAAAGAGGGAAGTCGACCAAAATTTATGCGATCACGCATTACTCTCAATATACTATTAAAAATAAAACGCTTCCCATTAGAGAAAGACAAAGAGAAAACTTTATATATTCACATATTTATCTGCGCTGCAGAGGTTAATTTACTGGCGAGCAATCACCTTTAAGATTCATATTTCTAATACAAAGTCCTATATACCGAGAGGATCATTTCAGGTAAAGTGCATAGTGTTGCGTTTTATTCCTCAGGAGTGAGCTGATTACTTATCTGAAGCACTAACGCAACTGGAACAAAAACTAGTTTTCTAGCAAAGGTTTAGCGTTTTAATATGTTTTAAGAAATGAATCGAAGACCAAGGGGAAATGATGGAGGTCGATGAAAACAAGACAAGCTCAACCAAGAGACGCATTTGATTAGTTTCATTCTGTTTTTATTCTTGATGCCAGTCTTTCTACATGTCTTCGGTTTATGAGTTTACGGTTTGGTTTCATATCCATATTACCGATAGCAATTTTTATTGCAAATTACCTTATTTACTGCGCACGTGTGTTCTCTATTTCTATCCACGATATTATAGAGAAGCGATAAGACTTTCCAAAGAGTCAGGCGTCACCTGGCCGGTGTTCATTGCAAGACCATTTTTATCAAATCCCAAAACCCGCCTCTTACCACTAAGGTATGACTCAAAATAAAAGTAGTAACTCCCAATTTCTCTGGGTACTTTTTTTAACAGAATTTCAGGGTAAAGACGTTTCACTTTATCCAAGGTGGTCAGACTGCGCAAAGGTGTCGACAGACTCTATTGGAGAAAAAACACTGGATTAATTCTTAAACCAGATAGGGTTGTATTATTGTTAGAAAATCTCTAGGAAGCATTCAACTTCACGCATTGTATTCAGTTAGTAATTTCTAGCATCCGTAAATGAATTTAGGCCGGTTATGTATCAGCGTTATCTCCTGCCATTTCCAAATGTTTCCAAAACTGA